ATTATTTCAATTGAATTATTCACTTGTCAGGAAAAAGGAAAGTTATGATACAGTCTTTTGATGGGTGGACTTATAGAGTTCACGAACATTAATTGTGATAACTCATTTTGTAGGACAATAATATTGAGTTCTGGAGAAAATTTGTTGCTGAGTATTTTGCACCCAATGCCAAGAAAAGATGGTGTGTTTCCATGTATGGAAGTGGCCGTCAAGCTGCTGGAGTTTTCCCTCAGGTCTGTTGGACTGTAGGCAGGATAATGTTTCAACTTCTGCCAGGACTGTACAGTTCTAGTTATGCTACTATTGGTACTTTTAACAATAATAATTTTGAGGGTATATGTTGTACATCATTTGTAGCTCTCCAGTTTGTTATTAATCTATCAATCTGTGTTTATGGAATATGCTGTTTAATCATTGTTGACATGTGTGCAGGATGTTTGGCACTGTGAAATATGCAATCGCAAGCCTGGCCGTGGATTTGGTATGTTTCCTGCTGGATTTTGAGATGTTATTATCAATTCTTCTGCCATCGTGTGATAGGTTGTATTTATGATGTTTTATTTACAATTGTATTGCTTTATGAGGCGTTAGGGATTGAACTGCTCGTGCTGTGTTCTTTTCTAAGATTCCTGTTTCGGTATGTTTAAACTATCCCACCCACTAGCGACGCCAACCTCTCCCACCCATATAAAAGAAGAAAAATAAAGATAAACTGACAAGAAAACAGAAAAGAGAGGATGAATGACAAGACGTAAGCAAGTGAGTTGAACTAATTCAGCGCTTGATATTTGCTAATGTTTTCTTTCAGAGGCTACTGTTGAGGTTCTGCCTAGACTTTTCAAGATAAAATATGAAAGTGGTATTTTGGAAGAGCTACTTTATGTTGATATGCCCAGGGAATATCAGAATTTATCTGGACAAATTGTCTTAGATTATTCAAAAGCCATCCAGGAGAGTGTCTTTGAGCAACTTCGTGTTGTTCGTGATGGTCAACTTCGAATTGTGTTCTCTCCAGATCTTAAGGTTACTCCATAAGAACTTCTACAATTGCTTTAGACCCATGGGCCCAGTATTTTTTGTTTACATCTGTGGTTCCTTCTTTTCTTTAGCAGATATGTTCCTGGGAGTTCTGTGCTCGGCGTCATGAAGAGCTTATTCCTAGAAGATTGCT